CGGCGGCTGAGTCTGCCGTCCTTGCGCTGGCGCCGGGGCAGCCCCTGGTCCCCACGGGGCACGCCTGGTCTGCGCCCTGCCGGACCGGGCCGCCCCTCTCTGGCAGCGTTCTGGCGGCCGGATGCAGCGGCCCGGCTTCCCCTGTCTGAGGAGAGCTGGGGCTCTCGCGCGGCCGTGCTGATGCGTGCGGCCCGGCCCAGCTCGGGGCCGCGCGGCCTGCCGGCTCTGCGGGGAGAGGAAATGTCCCTGGAGATGAAAGAGGGTCAGGGCCGAGCCTCAGCGTTTCCTCTCGCACAGTGACTGCTCTTCTGGGGCCTCCAGAGCTAGATCTCCAGTATGGGAAGCTGCAGGCTACAGCTGCTTCTGTTTCTTGAAAAAGAAGTCGCGTGGCTGAGAAATGACTATGAAGATGCACGTAGGGTTGTTTCTGGGCTCTCGGACACATCGCCTAGCCGGGCTTGGTTGGGGTTATGTAAAGAGCAGGGAAAAGGAGACCTGTTAACGAAATCCTGATTCATGCATTGTGCGTCTGAATGACGCTGAACACTGCTGAACAGTGTTTCTTGTTTTGGAGGACAAATGCTGCTATGAACTGCTGTGATTTATTTATCCACGTTCCCAAATATGAGCTATTTATGCTTCAATGCAATTCAAATGGTCTTTTTTTCATGTACTTTGTTAATGTCTTTGCACCTTTATTGTGTTAAGGTTAACACTAGTTTTTAGACCCTGCTGTCATTCGTGGTGGTTGGTTTACTTAACAAATAAAAAAAGATAACTGTATAACTGTCTTAAAAAAAAAAAAAACACTGTGTCGAAATCCACGGAACCTGAGGCATGTTCTTTCAAGCTGGGTTTGGGTAGCAAAACTTGGCAAGCCTTGTGGTATGAAGCAGCTGCTGTACAAAGGATGAGTGTTAGATTTCAGCTGTTATGGCCTCTGCTACAGTGACCTTGAGTTCCAGTCTAGATTTGAAAATGGATTCAAACCAAGTGTACCTTTCTGTTGTCTAGCTTATCACATAATGAAATTATAACTTTTTTTATTACTAAGTTGCTTTGTAATTTAATAACAAAACTCTGTTGAAATTGAAGTGACAGGGCATAATACGTTCAAAGTTATAAGGTTATTGTGATTTGTAGTTGGTACAGGTTTGGGGTGGGGTGGGTGCAGTCCTGGGTGGCTCACAGGTGGAACATAACTGCTGCCTGGTAAGTTAGTTATGTAGTTACAAAGTTACACCCAAATGCCTGTTTTAAATTGGAGTGCCAAATGTTTTTGTCTTGTTATTATTCTAGGGAAAGTTTAATTGAATCTCTATATTCTTCCTTAAGGGATATTCCCTCCCCACCCCTGCATCAAGTGCACTATCTCAGTTCCTGGTAAAACATCTAGTGCTGCATTTGCATGCATGCCTGCACTCGAATCTGCACACTTCAGACATTTCAATTAAAAAGCATGAAAAACACGGTATTTATAAAGGAACTTCACAAAACAAAGACCTAGGCAATGTGGTGTTTTTAACAGGAAAATGACAGTTGCAGAAAGTAAAATTTAAGGATGGGGCTTAAGGAGCCCCTGTCTTAGAAGCTGACCCTTTCTTTGATGAGATACAAGTGACTGAAAACACTGAAAGCAGGGCAGCAGTTTATATCAATATAGGTTTCAGCAAGGGGTTTTCAGATTATGGAAAGATGCAGTATTCTGTGTAACAACAAAAAAAAGAATTTCATGTATGTTAAAAACTGTAAGATCAACTTTCTCTTCTGCATTTTGTATTTAATATGTACAAGTTGTGCAAGTGAAAATTAGTGTTTACTACTTTAAGATAAAACTAATACAAATACAGAAAAGGCCTTTTAGTGAAATTAAGATTTAAATCTGTAATACAACTAATTTTAAAAGGTATTTTAGTATCTATTTGTTTCTGAATCAATTTCATATAATTCCAGTGGGGAAACCTGTGATTCTTGAGCAGGTTCTTTTGTTACAGTTTTGTCATACAACCAGCAGCAGGGATGTGGTCCCGAAGGGACAGGAGCTGGTGTTTGGTCCTGAGGTTGTTGTTGCGGGAAGGACGTGAGCTGGAGGGGGTTTCTGGATTCCGTTGGACCCTGGCTGTACAGCCAGTCTAGCTTTAACAACTCATTGCTCAATTGAGTGATGAAGCCCTAGGAAGATTCTGTAATCTGGAGTAAAGGAATTTTCAGGGTTCCTGCTCTGAGGGAGATCATGGGAGATTTGTGCATGTGATTTGTGTAAGGCTTTCATGAAAGTTTAAAGAATATTCCTCCAAGGCATGCTCCTGTATTCTTACTTTCTGTGGGTTTGGTGGGAGGGAGGGGTGTTCTTTTGTTGAGGGGTTTCGGTTTTGTTTTTAATAGAGTGCATGCACATTAGAGTTCTTAATGTAACTAAAAATGAGGACTGATTTAAAAAAAAAAAGAGAAAAGCAGGATTTTAAAACTGATGTTAATCTTGTCTTGCACTTGTAGTCTAGTTGTTGGTAAAGGAAGATTGCTTTTCATGGAAAACTAATCTGGTTGTTTTGATTTTTTTTGTTTGTTTTTTGTTTGTTTGTTTTTTAACAAGGCAGTATTTTATTTACACTTATGAAAATAATGGAACCTGACATTTGGATTAGATATTTTTTAATTTGTCATTCATGATTTTGTAGCATGTTTCTAATTTACTCATTTTTGATTTGGGTTGACAGTCTAAAAATACGATATTACAGTTCTGTTATCTCTAATGTGCTGGATATGTACCAAAGTATCTGAAATGTTTTCTGTTTAAATGGTTTATCAACAAAAAAATATTTTCATTGTTTAATATGCTGAGTTGAACTTATTTTTTCTGTCACCTCATCGTAGTCATCAAGATTTTAGAACCAATAGCATTAGCTGCTTTTACCTAGTTCCTATACATAAATTTCATGTGGAAAATGAGCTTTACTGCTTCTCCAGCTCCTAATCTCCTTTCTCAGTAGTAATTAAATTGGTTATAAACGGAACTGGGTGAATAACCTTAAATGAAGGAAATTAATTCTGTAGATGTGTACTTTTAAATCTCTCTGGAGCCCTAACTGTCTGCTTTTCTTTAGCCACATGTGGAGAGCAGATTTCCAGTAGCCACACCTGGCAGGGAAGAAAAGTTAAAAAAGAAAGCAAGCATCTGTTGCAGAAAACATGTGTTGCTGAAAAGTAGACATCTAAACTGTTTCATTTTAATGTGGTGGTGATTTGGAAGAAGATAGAATCCATTGTCCTGATGGTTGCTGAGTCCTTCTGTGATTTGATTAGGCCATTGGCAGTTTTTACAGTGTTTCCAAAAATAATATTTTTACATGAAATTTATTTCCTTTGAGAAAATGAAGTAGTACACGTGTTGGTTTTTTTCCCATCAAATTGGTGGGAGGGTTGTATTCTACAGCTTGCAGTGTAATACATCCGAAGAATATGCAGCATATTTGGTGAGTGGGGACGACAGGAAGTTTGCCTGAATGAAATAGTTGAGTCATTTTACAGAGTAAAACATTAACTTGATTTTTTGTTGGTTTTGGTATTTTTTTCTCTTCCAATGTTAGCAAGAAGGCTCATTATGTGCTCAGCACTGTCTGAATAATTTGCTACAAGGGGAATATTTTAGTCCTGTTGAGTTATCCTCTATTGCACAGCAGTTGGATGAGGAAGAAAGAATGAGAATGGCAGAGGGAGGAGTGTCTAGTGAAGAATATAGAACATTTTTACAGGTAAAATCTTCTTAATTTGAAGTTGCTTGATATTTTTTCTGAAATGTAATATCATGTAGCACAGACCTGCTATTCTTGCATAGCTACAGAAGGTTAATTTCCTTGTGCTAAAGTTTCTGAAATTCATAGGCCTTTTCATTAATGCATCTTAAATTTTGCATTTTCCAGTGTTACTAGCACAGCTTTACAGTAATTCTACAAAAAGGCACATTATCTTCATCTTACAAGTAGGATGGTCAGGCGTGGGGAGGAGGAGGATCAGCAATTTGCCTTTTGTTTTTGTAAGCCAGTGGCAGAGATAGGAACTGAAGTTCCCATGCCTGTCTGTCCTTTAAGCACTGAGCATGTCTAATTTAAAGGTTTGAATTTTTAATTAATAAGCTTATTTGAGCACTGTAATCAGCCTCACAGACTAGGGTATATTTAGTTGTTGCTTTAAGTATGTGCAGTTATATTTGTTTTCAAAACTTAATTATTTCTGACCTTTTATGCTTACACCGTTTTTCCCTTTTCTCCCTCCCAACCTCACACTGAGCAGCAGCCTTCTGTAAATATGGATGACAGTGGATTCTTCTCAATTCAAGTAAGCATGGCTCTATGCTAACAGAATTTCTATTTATGCAGTATATGTTCTTTCATATAATTTAAATGGCATCAAGCTTTTTCATCTAGTTTTTAGGCTTGATGGGATTAAGGGCTGGACTTCTAAATCTTCAGAGTGTTTTCCATTAAGAGCAGTGACTTGCAGTTCTTCAGTTCATGGGCCCTTAAACACATAGTGAAAGCATGGAGTCCTGAACTGTGAAATGTCACCTGCTGGCAATAAGCTTGATTTCTAAGTTGCTTCTTATGGGCATTTCAGGTGTAGACCTTGGCTCCCTTAGACTACAGGTGAAAAAGCAGATGTGAGATTGTTTTCTCAAACTATAGGCTGTAAAGCCCTTGGCAGTGGTTTCAGGGTTATCACAGTGATCTGCAGAATGGAAAAAGCTGCAATATCTGCATTCCAGTTTTTATAACACACTCCAGACACTTTAGAGCTGGGTTTTTTCTTTTCTTTTTTTTTTTTTTAAAGGACCATAATGGAAAAGTAATTAATAAGAAATACTTAAACCAGAACAACAACAAAAAAAGGTATTGAACACCGAATTGGGGCTTGTGTTTAGACTAGAGCTGTAGGCAATGCTTTGCACCTTTGGCTGTTTCCTGAGCTTTCAGAGGTGCTTGTCAGTGTTCTAGAATCCCTTGAGAGCCTCTCTTCCTTATGGCAGGACATGGCTGTGTTTCTATTCAGTGAAAAACCGTTAACAGTTTTGGCATTTCTTGTATTTTTGATTGTGCTGCTTCAATATTGAAGTTAAAAAAATAAAAAAGCTTCCTCATATTCTACTTTTTTGGTCCTGTCATTGCTTTGCTCACTTGCTACATAGTTGGCTTGCTGAAAGGAAGATCAATTGTTAATTTAGAATTTCTTACAGCGTTATTTCAGACAGCTTTAAAGAGCTATTGTAAAAGAGTTTTTGCTAATGTACCTGACTGACCCTGTGACAATCTGGTGGTGCAAAATTTCCAATAGTTACTGTGGGGAAGGAAGGGTAGAGCAGTACACTGAGAGCAGAGAGATGACAACTTATGAAGTGTCTGTGGGAGGTGAAGTTACAGCTTTATCTGGGGGAGTAAGCTTATTAACACATCTCAGTTAAATTCTAGTTTTGTTGCTTCCCCTTAGATATAGTATGCATGTTATATTTGCATGTAGATTCATGACAGCTGCATTCCAAATAATGTGATTTCTAGGTTTCCTATTGATGTTTTGAAATTTAAAGTTTATGAAAACAGTATCATTGTTTATAGCAGCTTAGAAGGTTGCATTGCTTAAATTTAGATTGGACTCTTAATTGCTTAAATTTAGGTTTGACTCATGAAAAGTGCTATTTTTTGACAGGTTATAAGCAATGCCTTGAAAGTTTGGGGTTTAGAACTAATCCTCTTCAACAGCCCAGAGTATCAGAGGCTTGGGATCGACCCTATGTAAGACTTTTTTCTTTGCAGCCTACTTTCATTTTACAGAAAAATAACACTCTTGATCTATGAGTTAAATCTTTCTTTAAAATTACTACTTTAAAGTCTGTTGCATTCTGATGTTTTTATTATCCTCTCTGCCTTTAATTTTGTCCTTCTGGGGGTGTATAGGAGCATCTGTCCTCTGTGCCTTGATGATATCTCAGTATCTGTGGCATCACAGGTATACGGAGGTTTCAGTAATGTTGACAGCTTCCTAAACCTTCTAAAAGCAATATGGGTACTCTGTAACATCAACAGTTGTATGACTGACATTTTATTATAGAAGTTTAAATTCGTCTTAAAAAAGAACTTAATGTACACTCCAATATTAGAGTATTTAATTTTATCTATACCTTTTGTTTTTCTTTTTACAGAAATGAAAAGTCATTTATTTGTAATTATAAGGAACACTGGTTTACAGTTCGAAAGTTAGGAAAACAGGTGACATTGTCTTTTTTTTTTTACTTAAAAATTGACTTGAAAACGGGGGTGGAAAAGTGGTTGTGAGCAGACCATGGCCTTTTGCAAGCTTTTGCTGCAATTTGCTTTAACAGTGTCCCATTTAAAAAAAAAAAAAAAGTGGATGTTTGTCACAAAAACACCAGACAGCTTTTTATGAATGTTAGCCTGGAAAAGACCCTAGGATTAATTCCCCAGTGAACCTGTCCTCTAGAGAGCTGCAGCTCTGGTAGAGTCTGTGTGACATCTCAAGTTCTGTTCTTTCTCTTCTGCATGAAAAATAGCAGAGAAAATTTACGGGCGGGAAGAGGGGACTCCTAGGCAAGGATTAGGATCCCTATAGAATGCAAACTTATTTTAATACACTAAATTATTGACATTGTAAAAATAATTTTGCTCATTTAAATGGACAGTAGATATAAGAAAAAATTTCACATTTCAAATTTATTAATAGTTATGATTGCTCATATTTAACAGTTTCCATCAGAAAAAGTAGAATCACAGCTTTGCGCTATTTTAAAAATCTTTCTGAAACAGTTGTATTATAAGCATGAAATAGTTATTAAAGGTAAGGGATGGCCATGCAAGTATATGGTACGTATATAGTAACTCGAGTCACATCCATGTCCTTTGTAACACTGATGCAGTGTTTTGTTTCAGTAGATGATTATTGTTCTGGATCATACTGCATAAGCTTTTATGTAACATAAGTTGTTGTGATGTTATGTTTTTTTCTAGTTTTTTTTTTTTTTTGCATGGAAATGTTAATGAAATAAGCTTTTAGCTTTTATGGTAGCGGACAGGAGTCTCTTTACCCATTTTGTTCATTTTGCAAGTGGTGGCTACCTGTGTTGTCATCCAGATTAAAAAAAAACCACCCAAAATTTAAAAAAAAAATCATCCATGAGTAAACAAACTAAACTCTGCTGTTCTGCTTTAGTTTAAAAGTATGGTTAATGTTTACAGGCAATTTTTGTATACTGTTGGTTGTCTTACCCTTTCCTAGTGGTAACGAGTGTTTTTGACAGATTAAGTGACTGAATGACAGAATGGTAGATGGTCACTTAGCTGTAATCCAGGTGAATTATAGCATGGGCCTGACTGCAAGTGTATGACTGCATATATGGAAGTTTGGGTAGATAAATGCGTTTTTGTGAGAATGGAGATAGTGGAAGGAGAATTCTATCTGAAATGGTGCTCCCTGGTTAAAATTGCGTAATATTGAACGAGTATGGTATAAAAAAGGTTCTTCAGATTGACTGCAATATGTATGGGGTTTTAGAGGTAGAATAGTTTGTTATGTTGAATATATTTTCTCTCTAGAAGAAGTATAAATGACTAGTTGTCTTCTTCAGGAAACTAGAAATGATCTATGTGTATTTATCTCAAGTGTCCCCTATTGTAATATTATGCTGTACTATCAGCATATTAAATTTGAGTTCATTTTTCTTAATTTTTAAATTAAAAAATTATCTCAGAGAGAAGTAAATGGTAGTTTTCAGCATCACCAGTTATTAAAGACAGCATGTTTAATGAAAGTATTTCATGGAAAGAATTCAACTTCGGTTTCTTATATCTATTAATTTCTTAAGAATACAGCATTAGCTTACGAAGATTAGTCTCTGAAGAAATTTAAACTACGATTAAGCAGAATTTTAGCATGATATCTGAAATAATTCTTCTACCATTATATTTCGATTTGTTTTTTAAAATCTGTTCACCTGGTACCAGTGTTCAGTAATGGCAGAGAGCATGCAGTAATTGCCCAGCTTCAGATCTCTTGTTAGCTGAAGAGTATTTGAAGGATAACTTTTAGCAGTATAGGTATTGTGCTTCAAAAGACTTTTAATTTGATAACTTATTTTACTAGATTTATTTGGATATTCCAGCATAGAAAATGACCACAATGTACAGAAATGGATTACCGAGTAATCTTTATGCTAATTTGTTCTCTCAAACCTTTTTTTCTCTTAATTACAGTGGTTTAACTTGAACTCTCTCTTGATGGGTCCAGAACTAATATCAGATACATATCTTGCACTTTTCTTGGCTCAATTACAACAGGAAGGTAATAGTAACTTGCAGATGTTAAATCTCATTAATTAAAAGTAGGTAATAATCATTATTTATTAGAACTTATATATTCAGTTAACTGCCCTTAGTTTTATGATTGAAATAGTGCAATATCCCAAGTCCTTATAATGAAAGGTAGAGCCTTACATTGTAATAAATTGCACATCATTGTGTGCCATATAGTGTGCATTTTAGAGTGCCTGTGTGTGCACCCTAATGCTGTAGACTTACGATTTATTTTTCTCAGGTTATTCCATATTTGTAGTGAAAGGCGACCTGCCAGACTGTGAGGCTGATCAGCTGTTGCAGATGATTCGGGTGCAGCAGATGCAGCGACCAAAACTAATTGGAGAAGAGACAGCACAGCCAAGAGATCAGAGGTAAGGTAAATAGAGATTTCATTTTAATTATGTCCAGTCTGATTGGTTTCAGTGATTAATGCTTCCATGGAGGCAACCCCCTTAAGACATAATTAGAAGTACCTTTAGTGCAACGTGCTTACTGCTGTTGCATACAGTAAAAGCAAGTTGGTAGAATACAAATGGTGTATTTTTAAGTGGGCGAAAACTACCTTAATAAGGATTCAGTCTTTCCATGTGCATAAGTGTTGTACAGTGCAGATTTTTAACATCATGATTACAATATTTTTCCAATTATAGTGAAATGAGTTAGCAAATCTTACCAAACTTTAGTTAATAGTAATCAATCTATAATTAAGACTGGCTTGTGCATTCTGTCATCAGTAGAAACCCATATCTGAATTTTACATCATACAGGATTCATTTAAAATCATACAGGATTCTCTTTTGGAATAATTTCAGTGTAAAAGCATATAATGTACCACTTCTATAATAATTTTATCACATTTTCATAATGAATAAATTGCATACTAGTAAAAAGGCTTAAGGCATTTCAGAGGAATTAATTCATTATTTCTTCCATTTTTAACGGTAACGGTAAACTGGTAACGGTAACGGTGCTGTAAATTAACGGTAAACTTCCAGTAACGGTAAACTGGTGCTGTAAATTAATGGAATAAAACTACTCGACTGTAACTTGGAAAGTGTGTACGGTATGTGTATTGGTTACAGAGGATCTGTTGTTCTGATGTGGTCATCAAAGCTAAGGAGACCACATGCACTATTTTCTGCTGGTGTAACTGAATAGCAGTAGGTTCGAATAACGTGTATTATTGCTTTTTGTAGCCTTATTGGTTTTGAAATTTTTCTTATCAAACAGGTTGTCAACATGTGCATGGGTTTAGAGTTGCAGTATTTTTGTTTTTACATGATGTGACATTAATGACTACATTAGAAACGAAAGTGCTTTTTTATATAACAAGTTTTCAAAATAGAAATTTTTTTTTCCAAAGTAAAAAAAAGGGTAAAAATCTTACAGTAAAAGTTAATATCATTTCCATCTGAATTGTGCTATAAATGTATACATTTCACAGGCTACCCAGAAGTGATGCGGACCAAGCAATAGAAGTTAACCATCCTTTTGATGGAACAGGCATGTTAGATGAAGATGAAGAGAATTTTCAGAGAGCCCTGGCTCTAAGTAGGCAGGAAATTGATATGGAAGATGAAGAAGCTGATCTTCGCAGAGCCATTCAACTCAGCATGCAAGGTGCAGTGCTCATCTAAATTTATTTTACAGTGTCCATGTTGCTTATGCTTTAGGCAGCTACCGAAATCAGTTTGTCAGCCACTTTTTCCAACATAGATCAAGCTCTCTGAAAAGACTGGCTTTGAGGCATGGAAAGACAATGCAGAATTTCCTATAGCTATCTCCTTTCTGCTTTTTGAAAAGTTGCAACTTTTATGTTAGTGTTGATCATTAGGAAGGAAGAGCAAATTGGTAAAGGGTGGCAGGAAGGAAAGGAAACAGTCCTAAGGTGAGGAAGGAGAGATAGTATCAAGTGAAGTTAGCCTAAGTGCTTATTTCTTGAACAAGTCTCTTTCTTCCTCTCAAGTTTGAAGGCATTTTCTTAAGCTGTATTTCATTTACTAACTTCATTTTACTGTAATTAGTAGGATATGGCATGTTCTGGTTTTAGGTAGTCGGCGAAGTGAGTTCTTGGACTCGTTACCACAGAATGTTCCTCAGTCGCCTCACACCAGTCAGACAGACTCCCTTTCTTCAGAAGAGCTGCGACAGAGAAGACAAGCCTATTTTGAAAAGTAAAGTAGTTGATAGAAAACTTCATGTGGAAGTACATGTCATATTTTTCAGTGCTTTTGGGGAATGGATGGGTTTCTGACTGAGGTCCAGCTTAAATTTTATCTTTTAACATATTTTCCTTACAGTACCTGAATTTTGCTATTCCCAAGTGGTTCCTATGAAGAAAAGAAACCTGTAAATAAGAGGGCATCTGTTAGTAATGTAACATCAGTCTTGTGAAGGAAGAAAACATACATGTTATAGAAGTATTTTAAATGAAATCCTGTAAATTTCTGTAATTATGCTCCTGAAGAAGAGTATTCTTTCTCTAAGACTTTACTTGTGGTAATGATGCCTCTATTGTGCATCACAGGAAAGCATTCTAGATCATGTTTTATGTTGCTGTTCTGGAGTACTTTAATGCATAGTTGGGGTATTGTTGTAGCTTTTCCTTATCTCTGTCTCCTAGTGATGGAGAAAAAAAGACGAGGGAGAAATGCTTTGGATTGGAGCAGTTAGACATTGCATGACAGGATGAGAGTGCAAATTGTCAGAATTTTGGGAAAATAGTGATATGGCTTGAAATATAATGTTGGGAAGACAGGTGTCTGAAGGTTAGCAGGGTGAAACAACTGAAGAGATTTTAGGTGCAGGGGTCTTATTGTACCAAAGAGCTTCTACTTCACACTCTTGGCCTTATAATGGTCTCATACTGATGTTAATGTTTTTCTTTTAAAAATTTGTAACCCTTTCAGGCAGCAACAACAGCTACAGCAGCAAGATCAGACCTCAGACCTACATGATAAGCCGACTCCAAGCTCAAGCACTCTGGAAGCTGACCCAGGTATTGGGTCACTGAAATATTTGTCATTTTCACCTTTGTGTCGTGCTCTGTTTCCTAACTTTCCTTGTCTGCCTACTTCCTCACTCCAGCAGCCATTCAGACTATGTATCACAGCAATTACTCTTTGGCAGTGAAGCAAAGGATCACTTTATTGAAAAGCCTGTTTGGCTTTGAATGTCAATATCCTGTTTCAAAGTGAAGAGCAGATACTATTAGACCATTTGAGATCTGGCCTTGCTTTTTGTTGTTTTGTTTAGCTTAAGCACTACAAGTTTTGATCTTTGATGGGATTTGTGCCAACAATTTGTTTTCTAAATGACTTTTAAAGCTGTATGACGGATGTGATAAACTTGGAGTAGTATCTGACAAAATTACTGGAACCAGTTTTCAATAGAACATAAGTATGTAGGCCTTACCAGTGTTAAGTATTGGTGATCTAAAATTAATGCGTATTATTTGCTATAAACTGACCATTGTGGATGGAAAGCTAAGCACAAAATCATAGAATCATAGAATGGCATAGGCTGGAAGGGACCTCAGATCATCTAATCCAACCTCCCTGTCATGGGCAGGGACACCTCTCAACTAGATCAGGCTGCTCAAGGCTCCATCCAACCTGGCCTTGAACACCTCCAGGGAGGGGGCATCCACAGCTTCTCTGGGCAATTTATTTCAAAGTCTCACCACCCTCGTACTGAAGAATTTCTTCCTAAGATCTAATCTAAATCTGTTCTCCTTCAAAATGTTCAACAATTTTAAAAAACAACAAAACCAGTTTTGGGGGTGGGGTGAAAACAGATGGGTGTGGACGAAAGGAACAAAGAAAGCATTTAACTACAGTTTAGAACTAGCTCTGTGCATGTATTACAACTTATATGCATTTACTTTCTTTAGGAGGTGATATGAGTGAAGAAGACATGCTTCAAGCAGCCATGAATATGTCTCTGGAATCTGTCAGAAACCACTTGAGTACAGAGGAGGAAAAATGACATAACTTTTTTTTCGCTTTTACTGTCAAAACACTAAGTCTCCATTTAAAATTTTACTATGTGGATGTTGCACAAGCAGGATTCATTTCAGAGTTCTGGAAGTAGGAATGAAATGGGGAGGAGGTCAGAGTTTAGAGGGAATCTGCAAATACAAAAAAGATTGCACTAATTCAGAAAACTGTAGCACTCCTTCTACAGAAGATCTGTTCACAAGAGCAGCTGTATTAAAATTACTTAAACTATTCACATGAACAAAGTTAGACACGTGTAGCAGCTGAAACTTGCATTTAAAAAGCAAGTTTAAATTGTTTTGAAGAATTATATAGGAAACACAAAAGGTGCCGAAAACTAGCATCAACTTATTTCCTTCAGTACTAATGGAAAAATAGATACAAGTAATAAGTTGTGCTTATAATACTAAGTTCTTTGTAAGAAATCATTTAAAATGGGAAAAATAGTTAAATTCTGTTTATCTTAGATAATTTATTTTGAGTAACTGTTTATTTTGAATCACCTGATATCAGCTTTTCGATCCTGCTGTCCACTTTTGAAATGACCCATTCTGCAGGAGAAACATGAATCCATAAATTTCATGCTTTGCAGTTAAAATCTTCAGTGTGTTGTTATGATGTACTCCTGAATGTTTCAGTGACTTCTGACCTTCTAACGCCTTCTGGTTTTACTTTCAGTTCCAACTGTAAAATTTTCAGATCCATGTTCAAAGTAGGTTGGTTTTTTTTTTTTGCATTGCCCTGTCGACTTTCGACTGATAATTTGCCTTCTTTAGTTTGTTTTTTTTTAATTAGCTTTTGTTTTCTTATGCTCTTTCTAATTAAGCCACTCTTTTCACTATAAAAATAGCATATAATCAGTTGGGTTAAACAGGTTTTCTTTTCTACTTCTTCTGTTTCCTCTTCAAGCTCAACCCTTCATTCTGTCCTTTCAGTATGAAAGAGCTGTAACTGAGTCTAGGAGAAGGGAGGAGGGGATTTAGGTGC